GTATTTATTTATATTATACTTGAACCATCGCGCGCTTAGCGCGCGCTCAAGCTCTAGCTAGGCTTGATGGGCGAACTCATGGGTGTCGAGGAAAAGGATAGGGAGTAGGAGCCCCAACCTTTGAAAGAAAGGGGATCTCTGCAATTTCAATTTTTTTGTTGGTCCCCCAACGCTGTTCGGCGCTATGTTGAGGGCCTCGCGGGTTTTTCCCCACATCCAAAGTGGGGTTCTTGTTTTCTCTGCACACCCCCCGCGCAGGATCTCACACCTCTCTCTCTCTCTCTTCCTCTTTCTCGCCATCATCATCATCAGTCATCATCATCATGACCCACGCCTCTCCTCCTCAGCACCATCACACTTACCCATACACCACTCGATCGCTCACTCACTCACTCATTCACTCATCATGATCATCACATGAGGATATCATCCGTTGGCGTCACACATCACTCAGTCAGTCCGTCACTCACTCGAGTATCAAGCGGGAGCGTCGTCTGTGAGTGAATTGCGAGGAAGTCTCAGGCGGGAGCCTCTCCCTATGGGGCCCGCAGATCATCTTACTAATCCGAGGCGGGTCATCGGGATCCTGTAACTGTCGTCACTTTTGGGCTCCTGGGGCGTGAATTTGGAGGAAGTCTCAGGCGGGAGCCTCGTCTGTGAGTGAATTCTGAGGAAGGCTCAGGCGGGAGCCCCCTCCCTCTGGGGCCCGCAGATCATGTTGGTAATCCGAGCGGGTCATCGGAAACCTGTAACTGTCGTCACTTTTGGGCTCCGGGGCTGTGCAATCTGCGAGGAAGTATTAGCGGGGGCCTCGTCGGTGATGTGAATTGGAGGACGTGTCGGCGGGAGCTTCTTCCTATGGGGCCCTGCAAGATCCTCTTATTTTTTCGGGGCGGCGGGTCATCGGGATCCTGTAACTGTCGTCACGCTTTTAGGCTCCTAGGGCTGTGATATTGGAGGAAGTCTCAGGCGGGAGCCTCGTCTGTGAGTGAATTTGGAGGAAGTCTCAGGCGGGAGCTCCCTCCCTATGGGGCCCGCAGATCATGTTGGTAATCCGAGCGGGTCATCGGAATCCTGTAACTGTCGTCACTTTTGGGCTCCTCAAGCCTGAATTTGGAGGAAGTCTCAGGCGGGAGCCTCGTCTGTGAGTGAATTCTGAGGAAGGTTCAGGCGGGAGCACCCTCCCTATGGGGCCCGCAGATCATGTTGGTAATCCGAGCGGGTCATCGGAACCTTGTAACTGTCGTCACTTTTGGGCTCTGAGGCCTGAATATGTGGGAGAGTATCAGGCGGGGCTCATCCCTGTGGGGCTGCATTTATTTACAGTTACGTTCCGATCCCCCGTTCTGTAGCCAAGGTCGCAGATTTTTGGGCTCCTCAGTTCCTGCGGCCTGAACAAGGGGGAAGTATCAAGCGGGAACTTTGTCTGTGGGCGGTGCGGGTAGTCCCGTCTGAGGACCGTCTCTTGTCGTCACTTGGAGGATCGAAGGGGAACTCGCTCCTGCGGCCTGAATATTCTCTTTCGACTTGCCCACGTCCAATCGCTGGCCAACCTTGTCGTCGTCGGCGGGAGAGGGAACTTGAAAAGGTTCACTCTCTAGCTGCGGGAGAGGGAACTTGAAAAGGTTCACTTTCCCGTTCGTGGCAGGATTGGGCTGGAGAGGGAACTTGAAAAGGTTCGACGTCTCTAGCTGCGGGAGAGGGAACTTGCAAAGGTTCCCCGTCCCCCCTTGTCGTCGGAGCGAAGGGGGAACTTGAAAAGGTTCACCCTTCATTCGCGGGAAAGGGAACTTGAAAAGGTTCACTTTCCCTTGGAGAGGGAACTTGCAAAGGTTCACTCTCCAGCAGCGGGAAAGGGAACTTGCAAAGGTTCACTTCCCCGCGCGTTCCAACTGGAGAGGGAACTTGAAAAGGTTCCCTCTCCAGCAGCGGGAAAGGGACCTTGCAAAGGTTCACTTTCCCGCGCGTTCCAACTGGAGAGGGAACTTGAAAAGGTCCCCTCTCCAGTTTTTTTCTGACCCCCCCTTTTCCTAACACCGATGTTTCAATGGACTAAGGGGTCACTAACGCAATTTTTCTCTCGGGCGTCGGGGGGGGAATCGCGTTGGCCGGAAACGAAGCTGAGCCTGGCGCGGGCGGTTTGTATATTTATATAGCTCGTTTCGGTGGGTTTTATTGTTTCTTTTTTTTTTTTTATTCGTTTTCATTATTTTCTTATTTTTTTGTTTCCGATGGAAAACCTCACGAAAACGCTTTTGAAATCGTCTGATTTTTAGAATCTGTCTTCTAGGATTTTCGTGTTAGCTTTGCGGATGTTTCAGTCCGAGCTGAACTTGTTTTTGATCTTGCTATTGTTCGCGCGGGATGGACGAGCAGCACATTTTGCAATTTCCCCATAGGGGGATGGAACGAAATGTACGTTTTTCTTTGGCATGCGTCACGAAAACGGCCCCTCGAGAACGAAAACGACGCAACGCCCTATTTTCATTATGAAACAATTAGCATTTGAGAGAGTTTTTCATAGATGCACGTGCCCGGGGGCCCTGGAGGAGGAGGAGGAGGAGGAGGAGGAGGAGGAGGAGGAGGAGGAGGAGGGGGAGGGGGCAGGCGGAGGAGGAGCAGGAGGATGGAGGAGGTGGCAGGAGGTGGAGGAGGTGGAGGAGGAGGAGGAGGATAGGAGGAGGAGGAGCGAGGAGGCGAGGAGCAGCCAGGAGGGGGAGGAGGGGTGCGGAGGGGGAGGGGGCCCAGCGCCAGACCGAGTCGTGAAGGAGGGGTCGGGGAGGGGAGAGGGGAGGAGGAGAAAGAGGTGGGGGAGGAGGGGGGAGAGGAGGAGGAGGAGGAGGAGGAGGGAGGAGGAGGAGGGGAGGAACGGAGGAGGAGGAGGCGGAGGGTAGAGGAGGAGGAGGGGCAGGAGGCGGAGGAGGGAGGTGGGGAGGAGGAAGAGGGGGGCAGCGGCGCACCGTTCAACATCGGCGATGTCGGGCGGACGTTGCTAGGGGCTAAGCGTGCGAAGGTCCTCTCCTCAGGCCGGACGAATGTGTTCGACAGGGAAAGGAGGGGGGTACGAAATCTGATGCATTCAGAGAAGGGGTTGACAAGGGAGGAAGGTACAAGGAGGATAGGAGGCAGCAGGAGGAGGAGGAGGAGGACGAGGAGGCAGGCGGAGGCAGGAGGATTCAGAGGAGGGGTAGTCAGGGTGGAGGAAGGAGGAGGAGGAGGAGGAGGAGGAGGAGGAGGAGGAGGAGGAGGAGGACGAGGGCGAGGACGAGGACGAGGACGAGGACGAGGACGAGGACGAGGACGAGGGACGAGGAGGAGGAGGAGGAGGAGGAGGAGGAGACGAGGGACGGAGGACGAGGAGGACGATGGAGGACGAGGAGGAACGAGGAGACGAGGAGGAGAGGAGGGGGGACGAGGAGGACGAGGAGGACGAGGAGGACGAGGAGGAGGTAGGAGGAGGAGGAGGAGGAGGAGGTGGAGAGAGGAAAGGGGAGGACATGCGACGATACGATGCGTTAGAGGAGGGAGGGGTGGGGAGGGAGGGGTGAGACAAGAGTAGCCCTTTATACCTTCCTGACATCGCCCGCGGTGTGACCCCTCCAAAAATCACGACGCTCCGGCAGGTTTTCGGCACTTTTCGGCGCCTTCTGGAGGCCACGCACCGGGACTCGGGAGCGTTTGCTCTCGGTAAGAAAGCGGATCGTCTAGGATGAAAAACCGGTCCCAGGGAAGGGGTCCAGACCTCTGGGGACCGACGTTGTGAAAAAACATTCAGAGGCGCGAGGGTTAAGATCTTCCTTGCTCGGGGGAGGGTTGCTAATGTTCTCCACTTTTTTGGGGATGTAATTGTGCCACCTGGCGGAGGGCACCCTCGAATGTTATCCTGTTTCCTCAGCGGAAGGGCTAGTGTTCTTCATGAATGTTCTTCTGTCCTCGCGCGCACTGTACGAAATCAGATGCACTCAGAGTAGCGAGGGTGAGACAAGGGTAGCCTTTTTGCCTTTTCTGGCTTTCGAAGAGCCTCTTCGTCGCCACGGCTGGATGCACCGTGAAAAACAAGTGCGTTTGGACCTCCTCCTCCTCCTCCTCGCGCTCCTCGTGCTCCTTCTACTCCTCCTCCTCCTCCTCCTCCTCCTCCTCGTCCTCCTGCTCCTGCTCCTCCTCCTCTCCTCCTCCTCCTGAAAAACCAGTGCGTTTGGATCTTGGGAGGGGTCCAGGCACGGATCTAGAGCCGATCTGGCCAGCGCTGTCCCACCGCCTCTCCTCCGAGCGCAGCTGGCTTCGGGTCCTCCGCGAGGGGCCCCTTCCTCGATGCATGGCCGCCTCGGGCGCCGGGAGACGCCAGGAACATCAGCTGGGTAAGTTGATTCTCCAGCCCTTCCCTCCCCGCCCTTCCCTGGAGGAGGAGGAGGAGGAGGAGGAGGAGGAGGAGGAAACCGAGGAGGAGGAGGAGGAGGAGGAAACCGAGGAGGAGGAGGAAGAGGAGGAGGAAGAGGAGGAGGGAGGAGGAGGGAGGAGGAGGAGGAGGAGGAGGAGGAGTACGGTAGGTCCGTGCGGCGTTGGCGCGGCGGCGACCCCTTCGAGGGCGTTCAAGGTTGAACGCCGCCGGTGGCTCTCGATCGTTCAATGTTGAAGTATCGGTCACTTTGGGAGCCGCCCGATCGTTCAAGGTTCAACGATCGACTCGGGGTCAGGGCCACAGGGCCGTCATGGTTCATGCGGCGAGTTGTCTCCATACCCGTAGGCTCCCGTAGGCTCCCATACCACAAATCGATGGGAAGCCTTGTGTTCCAGGATTGGGCTTCTTTGTGGAGGGCTTCTTATGGCGAAGCTCCCACTGTATCGCCTCGCGGCGGGGTCCTGGGGTCCGAATACTGTGTTTCATGTCGGCGTCCGCCCTAAGGCTCGAGTCCTTCCTCCACTGGGCTGCCCGGCGCTCCTCTCTGCCCTGCATGGGAAGAGCGCAGAAGGAGCGCCGGGCAGCCCAGCGCGCCGATGCGCGCGAGGCCAGCGTTGCGGCGGTGCTCGCCGCGGCGCCGGCCCCGCCCCTGCGCGCGCCCTTGCCCCCCGGGGCGCTGCCCCGGCCGACGCCCGCGCCACCGCTAGCGCCGGCGCGGATGCCGCGGAGCAGGAGCCCGCCCTTCGTGGCGTTCCGGCTTGACGGGAAAGGCAAGGGGGAAAGCAAGGGCTCCGACGGCAAGGGCGACGACGGCAAAGGGGGAGGCAAGGGCTTCGACGGCAACGGCGCCGACGGCAAGAGCTGCGACGCCAAGGGCAGAGCCGGATCCGGAGCTGACGGGAAAGGCAAGAAGGAAGGCAAGGACTCCAACAACAAGGGCCCCGACGGCAAGGGAGGAGGCAAGAGCTCCGACGGCAAGGGCAAGCCTCGGCTGCTGACGCCGGCGGAAGCACGGCGCAGTCCGCGCACGCGTCCAGGACGCGGCGACAGCGTCCGACGTAAATGACACCAGCGTGCAGCTATGGGCAACAAGACCTTGGCGCGCGACCGGACACCCCGGGCTCTGACAGCCTCGCGCTCAACAGGTGTGCGCCAGACGTGTGCTAGGGGCCAGTTTTTACGCGTCGCTCGACACGGCGGCGAGACAAGAAAGCGGTCCCGGACTTTCGGAGTCCGGAATCAGGGGCGCCTCTTCCGAGCTAGGTCCGGGGGTGGTGCCTTTCATCAGAGTACGGGCGGCTGCAAGGACTTTGACATGTGACAGACTGCTTGGAGCTGCGGCGCTTGGCCAATCAGAGATCTTCAAGCACCAACAGATATTGGCAGGATGAACAGACACCAGCATACGGCAGAGGTCATCATACACCAGCAGGTACAGGCAGAACCAACAGACACCAACAGAGAGCGGGCAGTAAAGACCACTGAGGAGAGAATTGCAGCACGAGGGGGGACAGGCAGAGACCGCTGCGCTGCCCACTGAGGCCCCTTTGACACAGCCCATAGGCCCCAGCCAACAGAGGCCCCAACCCCTGCTGGGAACTTGCGTCTCTGCCGTAAAAACGTGTCCTCTCTAGCGCAGCAGAGGACAGGGCACGGCAGACGAGCGCGGCGCATCAGAGCAACGCGGCAGACCAGCGCGGTAGACAGCAGGGGCACGTCTGTTCACTCAGGCAGGCCACAGCAGCATGGCAGACCAGCGCTGCAGACAACCCTCTTGGAGCTATCTTGAGTTTGGGAGAGGCCATGAGAAGCGAAGAAATAAAACAACACACAAACATTAATTTTATTCACTTTGTGAAAGCGTTTGGCTTCCCGTGGCTCTTCTGTGGGGGGGGCAACAAAGCCGTTTGGGCCCGTGGGTGAGCGCACTTGGAAGTTCTTCGAGTGCGTTGAAAACATCTTGAGTCATTGTGGACCATCTCGGAAGTCATCTGTGGCCATGATAATGCCATCTTCGGCAATCTTGGACGCTCCCACGGGTCGCGGCCCCTCCCGACCGGACCCAGGGAGAGGGGGCGGGGCGAGGGGTGACGGCCCCCCCCCGAAGGGGAAGAGTGAGGTTGAAAGAGGAAACGCGCTGGACCACCTGCGCTTAGAGTGCGGGTGGGATTTTTGTTCGGAGGCGTTCTTGGAGGTCCCAGGAATCTTCGAAACCATATGGCTCTAACCTGGGCAGCACAGTGCCATCTTGGATGTCATCTGGGACCATACAGTGCCATCTTAGAGCAGTTTCGGGCCATCTTCGACACTCTAACGCGTCGCGCGTCCCCGCCCAGACCAAATCCAGGGGAAGAGCTCATTTTCAAAGCTGGGAGCGTCAGCAAAAACACGGGGGCCAGCAGGAACCCGCGCATTGCGCAACCGCACAGGAAACCATTGGCTCGAGTTTCACACTTTGCCTTGCGAGAGCGGTGCTGTTGCGCTGATCGCCTGAGGGGTTGTCCCGACGGCAGATCTTTCCGCCGGCCATGTCTCTCGCCAGCAAGGCGGTTATTTGCGCTCCGAGGCAGGATGGCTTCAAGGCGCCCAGGAGCCGCTTGCCCGGGCAATTGACCGCCACAGTCACGTGGGACACCGGAGCAACAGAGGAGTTGACCTTCGAGTTCCTGCACCACGGGGCGTGGCGCGACGCGTACGTGTGCGCGTCGCGGGAGCTCGTTCTGAAGATCCACCTGGCGCTGGGGACTTCTCACGGAGGTCAGCAGGGGTCTGCCGCGAATCGGGAGGAGTACGACCTGGCATTGAGGCATCCGGCGCTTCCGACGCCTGCGTTGCACGGGTGCTTCGACGTCCAGGTGGGCGGCTGGCCCTTCCAAGTGCTCTTAATGCAGCGGGCGAGCTTCTCGTTCACCGAGCTGATGACGAGCCTGGCCGAGATTCCTGTGGACGCTGCCAGCGCGCGCCACGTACGCGCTCTCATCGCCAAAACCATCGAGGAGATGGTGAGGCTCGCGGGCGACGAGCTCTGCTACGAGACGTCCGACTGGCACTTCGACAACCTCGGTGCCATGGGCCGTTTCGGAGAGCTCGCGGCAGTCGTCCTCGTGGACTGGCAAGGGCACGAGCCGGCGCCGCACAAGACGGCGAGGCAGCGGATGAAAGCTGCAATTGCCGGCAAGAACGGCGTGATCAAGGAGCTCGTGCGCGCGCGGTTCTTCGAGTCTGGTGGGCGCTTTGCCGCGCAATGGCGGGATGAGATCCATCGCGCGGGCCTTGCAGTTCAGGCCTGGTGGTCGTGCTGCACGTGGTTCCCGACTCCGGGAGACTTGGCCAAGCTGCGGGACGCCCTGGCCGCGGGCCCGCCAGGCGACGAGACGCGGGAGCAGCGGCAGCTCGTCTTGCCGCCGGCAGGGCCGCCGCCTCCCGCGGCGTCACACAGGGGCCCCGGGTCGCTGGTTCCCGGGGCGCCAGCAGCCGCTTCCGAACTCGCCCCGCCGCCCCCGTCGCAGAGACCCGCCGCCGCGGCCGCAGTGGCCGAGGCGGGCTCGACGCGCGTCGCCGCCAAGCCCGCCCCTGCCGCCGAGCCGCCGCAGCGGGCCGCTTACGCACCGCCGCCCTTCGCCGCGTCACCTGCACACGGGTCGCCAGCGGCTGCTCCCGAGCCCGCCCCGCCGCCCGCGTCGCCGATGCTCGCCGCTGCGGCAGCCGCGTCCGAGGCGGGCCCGACGCGCGTCGCCGCCGAGCCCGCGCCCGTCGCGGAGCCGTTTCAGCGGCGCTGGCGGGCCGCCCGCGAGGCGCCGCCCATCGCCGGGTCGGCAGCGCATCGGTCGGCAGTGGCTGCTCCCAAGCCCGCCCCGCCGCCCACGTCGCCGGGGCTTGCCGCTGCGGCAGCCGCGGCCGAGGCGGGCCGGAGGCGCATCGCCACCGAGCCCGCGCCTGCCACGGGGTCGCCGCAGCGGACCGCCGGCGAGGCGCCGCCATCCGCCGCGTCGGCTGCCCCTGGCTCGCCAGCGGCTGCCCCTGAGCCCGCTCCGCCGCCTGCGCTGCAGAGGCACGGCGCCGCGGCCGCAGCGGCGGGGCCGCCGGGGCCGCCGCCGCCGGCCGTTCGCGAGGCACTGGCCGCCTCGCTCTCAGAGGGCCCACCGAAGAGGCCGAGGCTCCCCGAGCCGCCGCTGAACTTCTACCACGACACGCCTCCGGTCTCTCCAACGCCCGCCCCAATGGTGTCTGAGGCGTCGCGCCGGCACATCGCCCACGTGTCGCAGCTCTACTTGCACGGCCTCAAGGTCACCGACAGGTCGATGCCCTTGCTGGACCGGCAGCGCGAAAACGTCTGGGTGCCGGACGTGGCCCCCCACGCCATCGACAGAGAGAGCTTCTCGGCGGCGGCGCACTTGGTGCGCGTCTTCCTTGGCGAGTTTGCGAAGACGACAGGATTCCGGGAGCGCATTGCCGACCCGAAGCCTCGGCTGCTCACCGCGGCGGGCGAGGGGGAGTTCATTGGTCGCCACGCCAAGGGCTTGACCAAGGCAGCGGGCGGGAGGTGGTTCCAGATGGCGCCGCAGGAGCGACTGGCCATCTTCGACGCGTACCTCCGCCGGGGCCTGTCAACGGCGCCCGCGAGGCACGCGGGGCATCGGATGGAGCCCGCGGCCGACGAACGCCCTCGCCGCTGCGACTGGTTCTCGTCGCCGCAGGCCGCGGGCTTCTACGTGACCGAAGAGGAAACGGCTGCCTTGGTGGGCGCAGTCGCCGCGGTATACACGTCCGATTTGGGCGCGCTGAGCGCGGCTGCCTTGCCGCCGAGGTAGGCCGCAGCGCGCGCCGACGACCGCCCTGAGGAGTTGTTCTGATGGGCGGCGTGCGCAGCGAGCGCCGCGCCGACGATCGCCCTGAGGAGTTGTTCTGATGGGTGGCATGTGAAGCGCGCGGCACTCGTTGTTTCCTTTGCGACCCCTCGAAAAAACTCTGAGCTCGTGGAGAGGGGGAACAGCACGGTGCGTGTTGGCAGAGGCCGCGGTCTCCCATGGGTCAGAGTCATCTGTTTCCCTGTCGCGTTTCGGAATTATTAGTCTCGAGGCTTTTCCAGGTGGCCGAGGACGCGGCTGCTACGAGAAGCCCAAACAACGCAAAACAACCCTTTTGCATTCTCAGACAGCCTCGAGACCCTTCGGGATAATCTGGCGGCGCACCTGGAAAGGGTCCGAGAGCGCCCTGGGAGGGCCGATTGGCAATGAGCAGATATAGCAACGAGTCTGCCTCGCCTCTCTGCCGTGGCGTCCCAGGCGTACCCCCTCACCCGGCCTCCTGGCACACGATTCCAGAGCTCCTTTGGCCCCAGCTCCAGGCTTCCCAGATAGGGTCGAAGTAGGGAGGGTCACAGGACGCCGCGTCGCTGATGCATCAGTGATGCGGCGGGATGCGGGGCCGGGTTCCCTCCATCCCGACTTCGCCGATGCATCGGCGATGTAGTGCGATCCGCAGATCCTTTGTTACTCTGGTCCTGTTTGGGAATCCTCCGCCAGCGCCCGGCTCCGGCCGCGCGCCGACCTGCCTCTCGTCGCAATGTGCACTCCCGGCGCTTCCCACGCTCCGTCCAAGGCGAGGCGTGACAACCGGGAGTACTGGTTGTTTCAGGCCGCCAGCGACGGGTGTCTCCCTTGCGTGAAACACTTCCTCGACGTGGAGAACGTCGATCCCGGCGCCCTGTCTGCCACGCAGAAGTTCACGGCCCTCGACTTTGCCATCCACGCTCACTCGCGCGGCGTCG